ATAGGCTCCACTTAGTGTCACTAACAACATTTTTGGTGATAGTGTAGCTTTTTTTATTAATTGATTTACATATGTAATGCTGCCAATTAATAATATTATGATGGCGACGAATTGTCCAGGCAACGAATTGTCCAGGCGACGAATTGTCCGTCGACGAATTGTCCTAGTGCCGTTGGTTTGATTGGAACCTACGTTCAAACCAATCCGCTCAAGAAAATGGCGAATCTTGCCCGAAGGTATCCTACGTGAAAGAGAATGCAAAACTTACACCTTGGTTTTTTCCAACTAACATACATTTTGCGTTGTTAATATGATAAATAGATAAGATAACAAATACTCATTATATCAGGAAGTATGAGATTTCCAACTTTTTATTATTATTATTGTCAAAAGCAAAGTTCAAGTATGTGATTAATCGATCATAAAAGAGAAGACTATTGGGAAATATATTCCCTCGGCTGAAAGGAGGATCAAACGGAAAAAAAATAATTTGTATGTTTGTCTGTTTGTGTCAGGATCAGAGGTCAAAGGTCAAAAAAACATTTTCTTGAAAAAAAAAAAGCTCACGACTTCATGAAACATCGTTTGGGAGGGATCCTGAGGCTCGAGGTTGGCTGGATGACCGGTGAGGGGGCAGGGACGTGACGGAAATGAAGAAAACATTTCAACCGCGCCTAAGAGCAGGGCTACATAGAAAAGTTGATTACAAAAAAGTAAAAACACACTCGTTTGACTGTGGCATACTAAAGGCCACTAATCCAAAAATTCATTCATTCACAAGTGACACACTGGAGAGCAATCTTAAATGCTGAACTTCGATATATTGAGAGTTTTTGTAGGCCTTTAAGCTTTTTAATTAAGGAGATAACCTCAAATGTTCCCACGGGGATAATTTTATCTATGAGATGCCGATGGAATGCTAATTAATTTTCGATACTTTTTAGTAGCACACGGGTAATTATATGATAGATAGGGACAGCTATGGAGCGGCGAGTTGTGAATGGCGCCTGGTAATCTAGCCAGTTACCAAAGTATCAACAATCCGACACGTTCGAATGCGAAATCTATACCGAGTCTCATTTGGTCTTACCGAAAATATCTTTCTTTTAGAAAAAGGAGGGCATGTTCAAAGGTGCAAATCCATAATAGTCATTTATAGCGAACTTCTGCTTCCTGTGAAGAGTGATTGTCAGTCAGGAATATAGAATAATTAAAAGCACAGCACAAATAGTCCTTTGACTCTTTTGAAGACTGTGAGGCGAATGAAGATCAGTCTCTGGGGACCGTTTCAAAGGTTATACTTCTGTCTTTTTTTTGCATAAAACGCCCATAAGACTATTTTATTTTCAGTCAGTGGTTCAGTCGAGGGCATAGCGAGTCTGCCTCGACGAGCGTTACTAGTTGTTATTACTGGTGGAAATCAATTGACTTATCCAACTGATTTAGCATTTGGTAAAAGACAACATCTAGATGTTGCTGATAATACAAATCAACGCATTCAAAAATATATAATCGACGAAGATGATACGAAACGCAACATATTGAGAGTTTTGATACTGAGGAGGCAACCTGAATTTAACTACATTCTCATCTATATATGTTACTTCTATCTATTAGTAATAAAATAAATATTTCTTATTAAATATGATATGCTTCATTTCTTTCAGCTAATGATGAAGCAATTTTTATGTCATTACTGAAAATACTTAATCATCACAGACAGAACGAAAAATATGTCGAATCACACATTCAACAAACAATAATAAACGACTTTTTGCAATATTCAGTGATACGTATTAAAGATTATGTCAAAATTTCTCAGTTTGCCAGTAGAACTTGTTTATCGAATTTTGGATCACGAAAGTGATGAAACATTATTGTATTCAATGCAAAATGTCTGTCGACGAATCGACCAGATTCTTAACACTTATGATCGATACATAGTAAGTTCAATTCATATTTTGATAATCTGTTATTGTGATTTCTGATAAAGTCATGAAAATCGCTGCATCATTTTAAGCATTTAAAAGATGACATTACTAAATCTACCAAACTTTTTAAAGATATTTCCAAAGATCGATATAAGTTATCATACGAAATCGAAGGAGAATTGTACACAAATATAATTCCGTTTCAATACGTTTTGATTAAACATTTTAGAAATAATAAATTCTTCATATTATTAAAATTTATCTTCTTTCCTATCTTTTCATTTATTGAACTTTTGAAAACCTCAAGTACTAGTTTTATTACTGCCCCATATCAAGCTATCATATGTATTTTCTACATCCTAGAAACTTACTAGACTATATCTGAGCTGGAACGAGTATACACCTATTCTCGTACAACATCTTGCTGATACACTGAAAATAAACAAAGTATAATACATTTCTCTTTTAAAATATGTCATAATTCATCGTGTTTAGACTCTTGATACATTGAGTCTGCATGGGCATCCAATCGGAGACGTTGAAGCACAACATTTTGCCGATGCGCTGCGAATAAACACGGTAAAATGGATTCATTTGTCAAACATTTCAAGCAACTTTACATTTTACCATACATAGACTCTCACTAGTCTACAGCTGGGATTGAATCGAATTGGAGATACTCGAATACAACATTTTACCGATGCATTGCGAACGAACCAAGTAGATAACTGTGTACTTTGATGCGTTCTACTTTTTATGTGCTTTATCGTATATAGACTATAACTAACCTGAGCTTGGCATGGAATGAGATTACAGCCGATGGAGCATTGCATCTTGCTGATGTCTTACGAACCAACCAAGTAGAACGCATATCCTTCATACCACTCATCCTTGATGTTTTGTTTTTTCATATAGACCCTTACTACACTGAATCTGTTCGGAGAGCAAATTGGAAATGTTGGAGCACAGCATATTGCTGATGGGTTGCGAAAAAATAAAGTTGAATGAATTTTCCCTTTAAATTCTTCACTTGTCTATGTCTTTTTATTGTATACAGACCCTCACTACACTGGAATTGTGGCAAAGTGAAATTGGATGCATTGGAGCACAACATCTTGCCAATGGATTACTAACAAACAGAGTAGAATTTACTATCCTTTCACATACTCTATCGAGTTATACGTATATATTTTCATACATAGACTCTTACTACATTGGACCTCACGTCGAATCAAATTGGAACCGTTGGAGGGCAACATCTTGCCGACGGACTGCGAACAAACCGCGTAAAAGACTTTCTTCTACTATGCACTTTGCCTATTTATATGCTTTTTTGTCTACAGACCCTGACTATGTTGATACTCAAGTTAAATCGAATTGGAGAACTTGGGGCTCAATACCTGACTGATGCATTGCGCATAAATACAGTAAAATGCATTCCACATCCATACGTTCTATGGTGAATGTATTTTCTTGTATACAGACCCTCACTACATTGAATTTGTATGGGAATGAAATTGGAAACGTTGGAGCACAATATTTTGCTGAAATGCTGCGTACAAATAAAGTAAAATGTATTTCATTTTGAAACACTTCAGTCATTAACGGTGGTGTATCGTATATAGACCCTTACTACTCTAGAGCTGGGTTGCAATCAAGTAGGAAACCTTGGAATTCAACACTTTGCTGAGACATTGGGAATAAACATGGTAAAATACTATCATCTGTCATACACATCATCCATCCATGTCCTTAATCGTTTAAAGACACTCACAACGTTAGCACTCTCGGAAAATGAAATCGGAGAGATTGAAGCACGACATCTTGCTAATTCATTGCGAACAAACCGAGTAAAATGCATTTTTCTGTCATAAACTTTTCCCATCTATGTGATACTGCATATATAGGCCCTAATTACACTAGAACTGAACTCGAATCAAATTGGAGACATTGGAGCTCAACACCTTGCTGATGCACTCCGAGTAAACAAAGTAAAATATATCGATTTGTCATACACTTTATTCATTCATGTGCTTTATCGTATACAGGCACTCAAGATGTTAAAACTCTCTTGTAATCAAATTGGAAATGTTGGAGAACGGTATCTAGAAGATGTTCTGCAAGTGAGCACGGTAAAATGTCTTGAACTTTGCTACATTTTTCTTAGTCATATGTTTTATTATCAATTAGACTCTTACTATACAGTATTCAAATTATGGCGCATTTATTTATGACAGTGATGGTATATTGTAAAAGTATGAACATTTCACGTAAAGAAGATTGTAATGAAATATTATATTTGCTTAACACTGTTTCTTATAAAATACACATAAGAAATCTTAATACAAAAGGAAGTTAACAGATTATGTTTGGAACTCAATGAAATTTATTTGACTCGATCTCTGAGTTATAAGATGACAGCTTAGTTTCGATACTTCTAGCCACAAAGAAACTCATTCTTTATCAACTGAGTATTTGTTTGTTTTTCTTTGATTTCGCTATCGATGATAGAATGTCAACCTTATATAAATGAGATTGAACACGGAGCATAGGTCTTGTTATTCTTTATCTAATAATGAATTCTAATCTTAAAAAGGGTATCTTAATCTGACTTAACGCTAAAGTACAGATATAGACGCGTAAATGTGTGAAGAAGAAAAGATAACTAACTTATCTTATTGATCAATGAAAAACTTACATTCCCAGGTCGAACAATCCCATACTCGGATCCCATCCAGTCTCATCGGATCCAATACAGAATTTTATCAGATCCTACAGGAATTCGACGGATCCGATGAAATCCTGGTGACGGAATCGCATTGCATTTCGACGGTCTCGGATCCGATCGGATCCAGCATCGGATTTGTTGAACTGGGGACTATACGGATTAGCAAGTGAATTACTCCTATTCTCATTTGTCAAAAATGAACATTTTTTTCGGCTTCTTTCTTCATTATATATTTTTATTGAAAATCGATGAAGGACATGACTATCGTAGTTTATTTACAGATTCGATAAGAAGAAAACGAAAAAAGACGTAATTTACCTTTGTAAAAGAATATTTAAATAGTTCTGTATATTAGTTCGATACTTAGCAAGATTCTTATGAAATTGATTTTTGTAAAATTTGGATGGTAATATAAATATAACAAAAGTAAGCATAGGTGGAATATATGAAATAAGATATCCAATAAGAAATATCCACGTATCATTACCTGATTTCATACATTTCGATGCAAAAGATATAATCAAACGTGGTAATGCAAGAATAACCAATATAATAGGAGCAGTCAATAAATGTTTATGCTTTTCAANAGCAAGATTCTTATGAAATTGATTTTTGTAAAATTTGGATGGTAATATAAATATAACAAAAGTAAGCATAGGTGGAATATATGAAATAAGATATCCAATAAGAAATATCCACGTATCATTACCTGATTTCATACATTTCGATGCAAAAGATATAATCAAACGTGGTAATGCAAGAATAACCAATATAATAGGAGCAGTCAATAAATGTTTATGCTTTTCAAAGTGTATTCGTAAAAGTTCTTTATAAGTTCGATTAGTTTGAATAGTTAATTGTTGCTGAGATTTCTTTATTATAAGAATAACAGCTGAAATTAGATTGATTAGAAATGGAGCAAGAAAATGAAATGTATGCATAATAGAATTGAATGCATGTAAGCCAGTTGGATAAGTAATAATGCACCATATTCTTCTTTCGTCCTCATTTTCTTCATCAATCAAACGTCGATAAAAAGGATCATGAATAGATGTAACAATATTAACAACCAAAAGAATAATAATAGCTAATTTAGCGCTTTGTTTACTTTTTTTCCTATTAAATCGATTAGCTTGTATTACAGTTACTGCTCGTTCCATAGCTACACATGCATTTAACCATTGATCCATATTAAGACAGACTCGTAGAAAAAAATCAAGAGAAATACATTGAATTCGTAAAAATAATCTATTTGATATGCCTGTTATTTGTGCAAAAAGAAGTATGCAAAATTTTAATCCAAATATTATCATTGTAAGAAGAGTAGTAATAGATGACCCTAATAGATATATACCACAGCCAACTGTAAGTGTTGTTTCAGTTTTAAATGTTATCATAGAAAGAAAACCATCAATTAATCCGAACACAACAAAGATTATAGTTAATGTTAAACTAATTTTTATAATGATTGGCTGATGTATTATGCTAATATTTGGTAGAATATGATAACCTAAAATAGCATCAAGTGATAGGCCAAATCCACTTGTACTAAATTGACATAGTGTTCCGTAATAACATAAAGGACAAACACATATTGATTTATGTGGACAGTTCGGATGATCTTGAAAACATTGACCATCATTTTCACAAACACTTTGTCCTAAGCAATCAAATGTCATATTATGATCAAATTCAAAGCAATTAGCTAAACGTTTTCGATTAAAATCATAACATAAACAAAGATGAATATCATCATAAAAACATTTCAAATTTGATGAATATAGCTCGCATGTTAAATGATAGTATTTAATACGGCGTATAAGATCTAATTTAGCAAAACTTTCATTAAATATTTTACTTATATGTTGGCAATGATCAGATGGATTTATCATTTTAGCAATTGTTGTCGATTGATTGTAAATAGTTTCATGAACAACAAAATAATAATTCTTGTCAAAAAATTCAACAAAAACAAGATGAAACGGATGTGACCAATAGATTATAATTGAATCTTGTCTAATAGGCATCATTTTGAATGTTGTTGCCCTCTTTGGAAAATTATTGTTAATAACCTCTACAAAATGAATAAACATTGATTGTGATCGAACGATACTTTTTTCAAAAGATAGAATAAGCTTGTTATCAACTGATTCACATTGTTCTCCAATAAACCCTTTTGAACAAATACATACAAATTTTTGATTGTATATTAAATAATTATCATTGGGAATACATTGACCATCATTATGACATGTTGAATTTTGACAGATTGAATTAGGAAGAAGACATCGAGGACCAAATTTATCAATAGGACAAATACATATAGATCGATTGTTAGGTAAAACACCAATACATAATGAATCATTAGAACATTGACAAGATTGTTGAATATTACAATATTCTCCAAACCACTCGTTGTCACATTTACAAAAAGTTATATTTTCTGCATTATTTAAATATTTAATACATTTACCATGATTACATCGATTGTTGGAACAAGTTTGAATATTTTTATCACCTTTTTGTGGAATATCAACTATTAATGCTAGACGATGAACAGGTAAAAACGGAAAATAAATAGGAAATAAATAACTTCCACGATAGGTTAATGAAATTCTTTCATAAATATCAATATGTATGGAATAATTTTTTTTTAAATCTTTTGGGCGAGTTGCATAAGTTAAATAAATATTATATTTCATGTTACAATCTTTTACAGATAAATAATTTAATTGTTCGTATGAATGAATTATTCTTTGATCAGTATTATCAATAAGTAAAATAATTATTGAAAATGGTATTTGCAAAGAATCAGATAATACTCGAACTTGTAGTGTTAAACTTATTCTTTCATTTTGATACTGGCATTTATCACCATAATAACTAGATGGACAAAGACATGTAATTCGTGTTGAACTATTCTCATTATTCAACCAAACACGTAAATCAACACCACGATTACAATTATGTTTAACTTGTTGTGGCATTTTAGTCATAATTGAGTTTAATTGTATTCCGTTTTCGATATGTTTTGATTGGTCATCGATTGTTTGATGCATTCTGTCCAGTGAAAAATATATGAGGTGCTGTTTCACAAAGTTTTTCATACGGTTGCATATAAACTGCTCAACATCAGAACCCAATAGTAAAACAGATGATTCACAAATAGAATTACCAAATTCCGGATATGTTCGATTTTTTTCACAGAATTGTTCGTCACTTCCATCAATGCAATCTTGATAGTCATCACATAGATCAAAGAAGGCAATACAATAACCACTGTTTCCCTTTATACAATAGAAATTATTTCTATTGTGTAATACATACTGCCCACGCTGACATAGTAATGTTTCATCAGAAGCTCCAACACAATCGATATTACCGTCATTTGCTTTCGTAATAGGTAAACACATGAATTGGTTTGTATGAGGCGAAATACATATGTGATCATTCGGAGAACAATTTAATAATGAAGACGAATCACAGCCGATTTCATCCGCGCCATTTAGACAATTCCATAAACCATTACAATGGGTATAGATATTATTACATTGCCACTGTTCACATTCTGTTTCATCTGTGTGATTTTGTTCACCAATAAGTATTGGTGCTAATTCAACGAATCCATCACAAATTGTTTGAAATAAAATGTGTTTTCTTACATATCGAAGCATCATTTTTATGTCTTCGGGAAACATATAAAAAGTGTTTTTGGCTTGGTCTGGTAAAATAATATGACCAACATAAAGAATATTTTCATCATCTCCATTAGGACAATCGATTGCGTTGTTCATAATTTTGTTCATCGAAATGCATTGAATTGAATTATTACATCGATACATATCTGAATTGTTACACATTCTAGAAAAATAATTAGAACTTTGATTATATTTTGACATGTAATGATATTCCCAAAGATCACGATAGTAAGGTAATAAATAGTATTTATCCCAGCCGGCGAATGAATGATATAGAAAATATCTACTTTGCCGATAATAACATATTGTATTATTGAAATATACTTTTGATGAATTTATAAAATAATTATCATAAATTGAATTATTATAACACACGTAAGGGTAACCGAAATCCGAATTGTTTGAAATTTTTGAATGATTTTTTCTATAAGCAAAATAAATATGACCAAATAAAACTGGAATACCTGGAATAAACATCATGTCTGGACATTCTCTCTCAATAACATCATTACATTCACCGTTAGAACAATAATTGTCACAAATTGAATCACCCAAAAGATCCCAGTAAATTTTACATATGAATGAAAACCAACAATCATCAGATATAGAAATATATTTGACAGAAAACATGGCACGTAATAATATATTCTCTCGTTGCGAGAAATACGAACTTGTTAACAACTTATCACTACCCCTTATATCTTCACAATTAAATGATGGTTCTGTCATTTCACAGCGAGTCACAGCGAAATTTTGTCGATAATAATCATCAGGTTCGTCAAGACAGTAAGTAACATTAATAGCATCTTCAATAAATGATTTTAGTATACATTGTCCATTAGGACATTGAAATTCATTGTCTTGACATGTATTCATTTCAAGTTGCCAACAATGTTCTTCATCAAAGTCGCCATCGAGACAATCAACTCTTCCATTACAAATTTCACTCCAATCTAAACATGATGGATAAGGACCACGATAGCATTCTAAATGTGTATAGCAAGTTACAATTTTTGGAAAGTATTCATAATTATGATAGAAATCATAAATGATTTCATATAAAGATAAATAATTTTCATGATAATTATATAATTCATATTGGCACATTGAACCGAATCTTGGTAATGTACAATTATAGAAAACTTGTGCTGCTAAAGACGACGACGATGATGATGATGTTGATAATTCATTTAAATAAGATTGATAATCTTCAATAATGTCCACTGGTGTTGACCACTCATATAATTGCTGACTTGTAATACGTTGTTTTGAAAGTTCTTCAAAAGTAAAATTTTTAAATAAAATATTCTTCGTTTCAAAATGAAATTCTAATAATAATTCTTCCATACAATATAACATTATTTGATGATGATATTGACTTTCTTCGATAAGAGTAAGAACACGTAAGCAATCATG